TTTGGGATTGCTTTGAGGAACTACAGGTTTGGCACAACATCATGCCTGGGAACCAACTAAAGCTAAAGTACCTGTGGCAGGTTCGCGGAAGACGCAGAACCCTTAGATTAGAGTGCGCTTGATCCGAACATGATGCTTGCCATTGCAAGCGGTCACATATTTGTGTTACGAGGTCGAAAACTGGGGCTAGCTCGGGACTCAAAGGCAGTAGTTGGCTTCCTTTTCTGGATTCGTGTGAGTTCATGCACATGCACCGTGTACAGAGTAGCATTTCAGGATTCATCTCAGCACTTGGTGCGTTTTTAGCTTGCATGTGGCAAGTCTTGCATGCAATCCAGAGTCATTAGTCTGCCGGCGTGGTAGGCCGACTCCAACCTCAATTGGCGCTTCGCCTGTGTATGATGTGGGACGCTTATTTGACCGCAGTGCTGCTGTGACAATATGGTGAGCCACAATTGAAGCCCGGCTCCAGCCAGAAATGTACGCGGCCACCGTCTTGTATGCTTTACACATTGGTTTTGCATAGACCCCTTTTCTACCAGGATTGCGACTTATTTGATGATTTTAATGGTTATAGTGGGCGTCACAATTCATTTGTTGGAGGGGTGCAATTCACTTTTTGTTTTTCGTGAAAGGCAGCCAACAGTGCCTTTTAGGCCAGCAAGCGAGAGTTCCGATGCACAGGCAGAGGCGCAGATTGCACTTGCCAGCTGGTTCTGAACAGGTTTGGCTTCTTTAGACCCCCCACCCCTCGCGTACATGTATTAGAATTACATATCCACAGCGCCAATCGGGCCTTGCAGACATAAAATGGAACACCATAGTTGATGTCACGCGCACATGTTCATGAATTGGCTCGGCGCAGCCAAGTGTTTCCTGGGCATTCAAATGGAGCAACACGAGAGCTTACTATAGGAGTAATATCCATATTGTTAAGAGACTAGGGGAAACGGAAGAAAGCGTTTCCGCCTGTTGATGTCTCTTTAACTCCAGCTTGATTCCTTGATTGCTTATCCTTGGGGCAGCTTCGGCACTTTGAGACGGCTTCTTCTCCCTGCACATGTGGCGTTTGCTGTGATAACTTCGGTTAGACGTTCAAATTCGCAAGCACATGCTAAGTACATGCTGTCAATGTTAAAATTGGAATTGGTCGGACTCCGTTGGAGTTAAGCGGAGTTGGTTGGTCCACTGGCCGGTGACGGGCATGCATTGAGTCTGATTTGGATGCGATGTAGGTACCAGCCCCTTCTAGAGAACTGCCAGAAACATGGAATCTGATGAAGGCCATACATCACCTGCAGGCGGGGTGGTTGCAATGTTGCTAATGAAGGAAGTTGATTGGCAGCTGGCTCAGGATCATCCACGCCAAGCCTCACCAGGATTTTCGCAAGCTGCACGTCTGGATTTTGTATCATTTGCTGGCTGGCTATTGAGTGGCAGTGCGCTGTTCGATGTCCTGAGAAAGGATCAGACGATCCGAAGTTGTCAGACCATTCCATTTGTGCACAACTTATACGGACTATGTATACCTATACGGCCGCCTGAGGGTTGCCTGCGCCCCAAAGCAACGCCCCGACGCTCGAAACTGAAGACCTAAGCCGCCTGAAGCACTTGACGTCTTCGTCAAAACGTGCTCGAATCAGGCTCACACAGACAAGCGCAGCTCGGCTCGTCGAAAGATAGAGACGGTGGCTGCTTTTTGCGCTGTGCGGACAAAGCTAGCTGATACTTCTTGAAAGCTTCGAAGACATGCACTAGCAGCTGGCCTGCAGAGGGGCACGTAATTGACCTAGATCCTAAACCTACACCCTAAACCTGAGCCCTCCACCTCAACCCCCCTAAACCTAAACCCTAAAACTAAACCGTAAAACTAAACCCTAAAAAACATACGCCAAGGTTTGGGGGGTGCAGGCAACCCTCGGGGGCTGTGGGTACTTACCGTGTATATCTACACAATCTGCATGTGTGCAAAGACAGTTTTGGTCATATAGTCAGAGCTTTGCGGCAAACCTACTTGCGCGTTTTATCTTGTGTTTCAGACAGACTGCAATCCTTCCTTATCCCTTCATCACACACGCACACACACGTACATCTTGTGGCCTAGAACATTCATAGTTGCATGTGTGCCACACATGTTGCGAAATGGAGCATCATCCACAGCAAAGTTAAGTCTTATGCATTTGTGACACAACCAAGGCCATCGTGGAGAATTGGAGCCTGGGATACAAATTTGTTTGGACAGGCGCAATATTTTATGTTTGAGCGAACACCAGAGCTTGGGATTGCCTTGCCTCTTACATGCTTCAGGGGCGAACGACTTTGCCAGCATCGTAAGAGAGGCGCAGAACACAAACATGGAGGTAGATGAGGACTCGGACCTGGCGGTTCCTGCCGTTGTGTTGCTTGAGATGCAAATCATCATCCAAGCAGCACCATCCTGGTGCACAGGAGATGAGCCCTGCTCTTTCGAGCCTTTGCCCCGTGGGGTCAGTGACATGTG